GCGGTTCTGTCAGGAAGAGCTGTACCTTCGCCTCATTTACTTATTCAGTTATTTATTCATATCAATGTGGATTCGCTGACATTTATTTTCGCTTTATCCCAGGACATCATTATTGTGCAGCCTTATTTTTATGTACTGCATAGTTCGCTGAAATAATTCTATATCATCACATTTTTAAGAAAAATAGGTTAAAATTCAGATAAGGGCAACTCATTATCCGTTGACAGTATAGTTATTTCCTTAGAAATCTAAACAGAAGCTGCACATTTTTGGAATTAATGGGAGTTAGGTAAGGATTTTAGATGGACGATTAGGAATGCAAATCAATGTATGTGTTGTGGAAAAATCAGTATATAAAAATTAGCAGCAAGCAGTTAGAAAATGTGCTTTTAAAAGAAATAAATGTTCTCAGTTTTATGTATGTGTATAAAATAAAACAATTTCAAAAAGAAATAATTAGTATATGTACAAAAAATAATAAATACCCACACTTCCACCATCCAGCATGAATGTGGGGGTGCGACCCACAGAGTAGCCCAGGCAGGATGTGTGTGAGGCCTAGGGTACCAGGCACAGTTCCTACACAGCCTAAGTCAAGGTGAAGGAGACAATTCTCAAAGAATCTCACCCAATATATCCACTTTTTTGTTTTCATATGGGTGATAGTAGGTTTTTTTTAAATTGAAGTATAGTTGATTTACAATATTGTGTTAGTTTCAGATGTACAACAAAGCAATTCAGTTTTTTTTTTTCAGATCCTTTTTCCACTATAGGTTATTATAATATATTGAGGATAGTTCCCTGTGCTTACAGTAATCCTTGTTGCTTATCTATTTATGTATCATAGTTTGTATCTGTTAATCCCATACTCCTAATTTATCCCTACCTCTCTCTCTTTCCCCTTTGGTAACCATAAGTTTGTTTTCTCTGTGAGTCGGTTTCTGTTTTGTATATAGATTCATTTGTATTATCTTTTAGATTCTACATGTAAGTGATATAATATTTGTCTTTCTCTGTATGACTTATGTCACTCAGTATGATATTCTCTAGGTCCACCCAAGTTGCTACAAATGGCAATATTTCATTATTTTTTATGGCTGAGTAATATTCCATTACATATGTATACACATATATGTATATGTAATGTGTACATATATAATATATACATACCACATGTATATATGTCATATATACATACCATATCTTATTTTTTCATATTTATTTTATTATTTATTTGGTTGCACTGGGTCTTTAGTTGTGGCAGGTGGGCTCCTTAGTTGTGGCATGCAAACTCTTAGTTATGGCATACACGTGGGATCTAATTCCCTGACCAGGGATCGAACCTGGGCCCCCTGCATTGGGAGCGCAGAGCCTTAACCACTGCGCCACGAGGGAAGTCCCCATACCTTCTTAAACCAATCATCTGCTGATAGGCACTTGGGTTATTAGGGTTTTCCTCTTAGTCCCCACCCAGGGACACAGGTCCCAACGTGGTCGCTTTTCTTCCCTTCCTGCCCAATTACTTGTGGATCTCTCTTACAGCCTTGGATGTACCGGAGTCCTTCTGCCAACTTCCAGTTCGTTTTCGGTGAGAATTGTTCCACATGTAGATGTATTTTTCATGTGTTTGTGGAGGGAGGTGCGATCCATGTCCCTCTTACTCCACCATCTTGATCTATCACCAATAATCTCCCTTTTGATTAGGTTAAGGTCAACTGATTTAAAACCTAAATTACATCTTCAAAATCCCTTCCTCTTTGCTGTACAACCGAAATGAATCAGGGTGTAATACCAGGAGGTGGAAATCATGGGTGATGGGTCTTAGAATTTTACCTACCACAATGTCCACTCTAGAAGTTAAATGCATTGATTTAACTTGCAGGCCCTTGACAACCAGCAAGTCTGCACACTTCCTGTATGTCTGTTCATTAGCTACCCAATCTTTTTCGGGACTGGTCACTTCACATTGTTTATCCATGTATATGCTGGAGCCTGTCTCACAACTGTGTATGAACTTTTATGTAGCAGCTCCCCTGCCTCTTTTTCCTCTGATGTTCCTGCCTGGCTTCTCCAGTTGCCATAGTCAGGGTCAGCATACACTGAGATGGAGTCAGAAGTACAAAAGGTTATTGGGGAATGACACTAGTAAAAGAATGAAAAAGTGAAAAGGGGAGAAAGCAGGATTGGCCAGGAGGCACTGTCAGACCACCATGCTGCCCAGCAATAAGCTCAGGGCAGACTGCCGGTGAAAGGAGTCTTGTGTGGGGTGCAAACATCCAGGCCTGGGGACCATGGACTTGCGTGCTTGGTGGCCAGAGGCTGGTGGGGGAAGAGTGTGACCTGGGCTCCTAAGGAGCTCACAGCTGACAGCAGGTCCCTCTTTGAAGGAAAGTCAGGGTAGCAGCCAACCAATAGTCTATCCTTGGTGCCTTGTCCTCTGTTGGTGCACATAGTGCCCTTAAAGAAAAAGATCCTTCACTCAGGTTACAAAGCTTTGCCTGGTCGAGTCCTGCCCCCCAGCTCCATCAGGTTCTAGCCCCTTGGTTTCTGTGGCCTCTGATCCTCCTTCAATTCCTAGACTTCTCCATCAGGAACAGAAGCCAGAGTGCTCAAGATTCCTTAAAGGTCTGCCGAAATGGTATCATTCCTTTTAAAATTAGAGGAGAAAAATGAATGTAATCCAGTCTGGCTTATGTACATCTTTATGCCAATGTAGTAATAAAATGTATTTTTTTATATTTTTTGATGGAGGAAGGAGCCCACGAAGGCCAAAGTGCCTCAGGCTTGAGAAAGAAGGTCGGGATCTGCCCCTGCCTTGCCCCTCCTCACACCAGGTTCTCCGTTATCAGACTCCTCTACTCTGAAGAGCACTCTCCTCTGTACTCCCTCTTCTGGTCAGTGCCTCATTTTTTCAGATTTTCTATTGCTGATGATCCCCAAGTACATCATACCAGCCCAGGCCCCTCCCTGCACTCCAGACTAAAACAGTCTCCTGCCTCCTTGACTCTCCACTGGAAGGCCTGATGAGCATCTTACATGCCCCAAAGTGAATGCCAGTGCTGTCCTCAATCCCAGCTCATCTCACAGCATTGCCTGTCTTGGTCACCAGCATTTCCATTCTTTCCCTGATAAAGGCCAAATCTTTTTTTTTTTGGGTAATAAACTTATTTATTTATTTATGTATTTGTTTGTTCGTTCGTTTGTTTGTTTGTTTGTTTTTGGCTGCGTTGGGTCTTGGTTGCTGCGCACGGGCTTTTTTTAGTTGTGGTGAGCAGGGGCTACTCTTCGTAGTGGTGCACGGGCTTCTCATTGTGGTGGAGCATGGGCTCTACGTGTGCAGGCTTCAGTAGTTGTGGCACGTGGGCTCTAGAGCGCAGGCTCAGTAGTTGTGGCGCATGGGATTAGTTGCTCCACGGCATGTGGGACTTTCCCGGACCAGGGCTCGAACCTGTGTCCCCTGCATTGGCAGGCGGATTCTTAACTGCTGAGCCACCAGGGAAGTCCCAGGCCAAATATTCTTTGGTGTCTGGACTCTGCTAATTCATATCCTACCCGTGACTGGACAGCAGGTCCTGCCAGCATCATGCTCAAACCTACGCAGAATGCAGCCAACTCTCACTGCCTGCCTGACGGCCAGCATCTCTTACAGTGATCATGTCACCAGCCCCCCTGGTTCTCTCCTTCTCCCCAACTAAATTTCCCCATAGCAGCCAGAGACTTTCCATGGCACCTCCCTCCTTTGCTCAAAATTTTTGAGGGCTCTCAGCTCCCTCAGTGGGGAAAGTCCACACCACAGCCTGCAAGGCAGCCAGGTCATCCCTGAGCTCACTGTCCACACCTTTCTTTCTCTCTGTCTTACTCAGCTCCAACCACACTCGTCCTCTCCCTGGTGCTCCCATGCTGATATGCTCCCACGTCAGGGCCTGTGCACATGCTGTTCCCCCCTTGCCTGGAATACGCTTCCACCAGATATCTGCCCAGCTCATTCCTTATCCTCTTTAAGTCTTTATTCATACCTGGCACATACAAGGTACTTAATGAATATTCATTGACTGAAAACCAGTCAGTTGAATTGTTGGTCCCAATTTTTCACTGCCCTCCTTGAAGAAGGATTACATGTCCTCACATGTTGCCAGTGACTTGCAAAGCCTCCCTGTGCAAGTGGGAAGGAGGCATATATATGTGATATATATGTATATGTATATATACACACACAGACATATATGTCTATATTTGTATAATTATTTATACTTTTTCCAGGTTTGGAAACTGGATTCAAAAACAAAGAGTTAGCCAGAAATCAGGGCATTTCTCTTAGAATCATATGCTGTCCTGAAAATAGAAAGATTCACAAAGGCTGAACTATATCCCTCCACAGTTGGCAGAGACCAGGAATGTGAGGCTCACTTAGAGAAGCAGCAGGAGAACCAGAAGAGAGGGGTGGAACACATGGCCATTGAGGAAACACTGATTCAGGACAGAGGCGGCAAGAATAATACATTTGGGGGAAAAGTTAATTAGAACTCATTCCTTCCTTCTTCCACTATATAATGACATCAGAAAAGTCATACTCAAGAGAGATCATACCAATGTGTTGAGTGTACAGAAGTCTTAACAGAGCTCAACCCTTATAACCATGAGCAAATTCACTCAGGAGACAAATCTCACAAATGTGTGGAGTGTGGGAGAGTCTTTACTGAGAAAGATTTTATTTCAGTACATTTTAGGACTCATATAGGAGAAAAATTCTGTAAA